TTCGACGCGGCCCCCTTTTCTTATTTTCCGGTGGCAGGCCTCATGGTGCAGTACTACGGCGAGCGCACGTACGCGAGATTCTACGCGCTGGAGACGATCGCCCGCGTGCCGTACTTCGGCTACCTGTGCGTTCTTCACCTCTACGAGACGCTTGGCCAGTGGAGACAGGTGAGCCGACCGATGATCAGCAGCAGCAGCAGCAGCAGCAGCAGCAGCAACAGCAGCCCGTGGCTCGCGTGCTTTTCTATGGCCTTGACTCTGCACGAAGGTTCTTGGTCTTTGCCGCCCTGAGATCCAAGTCATGCGCGATGTGTATCGGAACATTTTGTGCCGATGATCAGCAGCAGCAGCAGCCCGTGGCTCGTTGGCTAAGCGTTCTTTCTGTGTATGTTGCCGGGGCATAGCTGCTTCCTCATTGAATTTGAAAGTTGTTTTGGGTGATTTTCTGTGTGCTTGAGTCTGTACATTCGGTGTTGTTGCCGCACTGAAATCCGGCACGCCGTGTGTTCGGGAATATTGGTGTGAGGTGAAGACAGCCACAACACCAGCCACAACGGCATCAGCCGTTCGAGTTATTCCGTATTTTTTTGACACGTACGCCGGCGGAATTTATCACCGACAACGACAACAATAATAGCATCAGCAACAACATCAACAACAACCATAAAGAACAAATAACAACGCTACATGTAGACATATCATCTATAACACCACCACCGATGACAACAACAACAACAACAACAACAGGCGGAGTACCTCAAGGTCCACTTCGCCGAGAGCTACAACGAGCTTCACCACCTCCTCATCATGGAGGAGCTCGGAGGGAACGTGCTCTTTAGAGACAGGCGAGGAAGGAAGCACCTTGTCGATCGCAGAATTTCGCCGAACTTCGGAGGCAACTGCTTGTTCTCTTGTTGTTGTCTGACCTTAAACTTGGTTGTCTTGCGTGTCTTTCTTCGTCTCGTAGCGTGTACCACCCCCCCCCCGCTCCCCGTTGCTGTCTCTGCGGGTGGTTTTCGTAGAACGCGGCGTTTTTTTCGTCTGTTGTCGTGGCGCTTGCCTGCGTGCCTTTCTCCGTCTCGTAACGTGTTCCCCTGCACCGCGTTAACATCTATCCTCCAGGTGGTTTGCGCAGCACGCTGCGTTTTTCTACTTCTTCGTTGTGGTCGGGCTGTACCTCTCCAACCCGAGGAACGCGTACAACTTGAACCAGGTATGCATGCCCAAAAAAGAGAAAAAAAAGCGCTGCAATGTGTTGTTCAACCTCCTTCGTGAGGGGAAGAAATATAGACGCGTGTAAGAGCAAAAAGCTGTTTGCTGCCGCCGTCTTTTGGGGTTACACGTGCCACTTTTTTTGTAATTTTCCCGTGTTTTGCTCAAGTACCACACAGTAGTGAACCGAACTGAAAAGAGTAGTCATCTTCTCATCACCCAGGAAGTATTGCACACAATGCAGCATGGCGCCCAATCCCGTTGTTTGCCATTCTTATTTCGCTCACGGAGCAAGCACCGCACTATAATAGCGTCGTTTGCGTCGTGTGTGCAGGAGGATCTGGAAAATGGATAGGTTTAAGCTTTGATACGCCGAGTTTTGGTGGTTCCCTGCTCACCTGCTGGCTTGCTCCGCTTCTTGTCGCCCGACCCTGCTGCGCCTGCATCAATCTCGCCGCAAATGCAAAAACTCACGACAATGTGACAAATGACAGCACGTGGAGGAACACGCGTTTTCGACGTACGACAGTTTCCTCTCGGACAACCAAGAGGCGCTCAAGCAACAGCCGGCACCGGAGGCAAGTCTTGGGTGTTTGGTAGGGAGTTGCTGCTGTTTTCGTTGACGTCGTGAATAAAAGCTTGAATCAAAGCAACCGCTAAATCGAGAACAACAGCAGTAGCAACTAAAGATATTCCATGAATTGTCTATGCATTGTAATAGTATGTGGATTCGCGAATGAAATGCCAAATGAGACATGGTTTTTCATCGGCATGCATCGTCCTCCTCCTCCCCCCCCCCCTCGTCGTCCGTCTAGTCCGTTGTTCTCTTTCTTTTTGGGCAACACAAGCGCGTTTGCCGCCGCTTTCACCGTCATGTGTCTGCGCGCAATCATGCCCGTTTCGACCTGCAACCGTTGCCCTAAGTTGACCTTCGAACGCGCACACACCAACATCGAGAGCAACAATGACGCTGCAGCGGTGAATCGTTGGTTTTGCTATCTCATGGCCGGCCGGCCTTGTTCGTAAGCGGTCGCCGATCTCCGTACTCCCGAAGTCAACACGCTACCACCAATCGATTTTACGTTTTTTCATATTGACGGGCCTGATTTTCCTCTGTCTCTACACGTCTCGTCCGCCCTTCTGTGTGTGTCTGTCTGGCCGTCTGCCTGACTGTCTCTGTCTCTCCTCTATGTCTCTCTCTTTCCTCTCGTATTCTCTCTCTCTCTCTGTCTCTACCTCTCTCTCCCCCTCCCCCCTCTCTCTCCCGTACCCCAGATCGCGAAGAAGTACTACGGGCAGGACAAGCTGTACGTGTTCAACGGCCTTCACGACGACCCCAACGGACCGACATTCGAAGAGAGGGACTGCGCGAGGCCGGTCATCTCGAACCTATTCGACACATTCGTTGCGGTAAGCTACCCGACCCAACCCACGTGACAATAGAGCAGTCAGTGTTTCTTGTTTGTTACAGGCGATTCCTCCCAAGTGGGCTCACGAAATAACGGTGTCTTCAAGGGTTGTCGTTGTTGTTGTTGTTGTTGTTGTTGTTGTTGTGGTCTTCACATTGAAGTCGTGTCAGTTGCTAATCCCAAAATCTAGCAAAAGCTTTAGTCCGTGGTCGCAAAATGCTCCATAGAGCCATCAGAAGATCTAAAGAACACACACACTATTAGCAAGAAAAGGGTACGCAAGCCCGAAGAGGTACACCTGAAGGGTTGATGCATGATTTAAATGAAAATAAAAGGCAGCAGGAGCAGCCCGCAGCTGGCTGGCTGCGACGTTTCCCAGGGCTCGAGAGTCTCACACAGCCGACGCGTCCCCGTATCACAGGAAAAAACTTTCAGAAACACCAAGAAGCCAAGAAAGAGTGCTGGGGATTTGCACGCGTCATGGCGATGCTGCGATTCGATGCAGAACGGCGTCTGAACGAACCATGCTACAACAGCCGTGTACTACAGAGGAACCCCCCCCCCTCCCCCCCACTGCGCCTAATATCTTCAGCCCCTCAGTAACCGCCCCCCCCCCGGTATTTGCCATCGGGGTCAGGTTTTCGTCGCTTGGCAACGACGTTGTAAAAGAAGTCCCCCCTCGGTATTTGCAATCGGGGTCAGGTTTTCGTCGCTTGGCAACGACGTTGTAAAACAAGCCAATACACTTCGTGAGCTCGGCAACCAGGTCACGTTTTTATTTTACCTCTGTTTTTTTTTTGGCGGTAACCATAATGGTG